CTTTCCAGTCAACCTAAACTTGTTGCAATTTTTTGAGGGAGAAAATAATTCAGAAAATGATCACCACGCCCAAGTACCTGTAGGCAGTATAAAAAGCAGCAGACTCTTCTCCAGAGCAGAAACAGCTCTGACTTAAAAACAAATTAAAAAACCGTAACAGAAAACACAACAACAGTAACAAAAAAAGAAAAGAAAACCCCACAAACCCATGAAAAATCTACATGGCCCCTTTATCCGGGGTCATTTTTAAACTAGTTGTTACAGAGTAGGTTTTTAAGTCACCTAGATCACAAATAACCACATAGTTTCAAGAACCTTTACACATTGTCTTTTTTAATTAGATTAGCTTTACAAGCAACTTGAGAGCTCTTTTGTAATGAACACTGCTTTTCAAATTACACAACTTTATAGGCAACCTGTAAATGAATCCTGAATTTCATTGCCTGCTATAGATAAAGGTCTCATATTTTACAGCCGGCTGACATCATGAATAAAAATAGCATTATGAAGCTTTATCTTTAACCAGGACTAGACACATACAGATCATAAGACAGTTTAAAAAATAGTTTTAAAACAAGGACCTGCTTGGTGATGCCAAAGACTGAATATTCAACCGACATGAAATGAACAGTTTCTAAAGAACATAGAAGAAATGGCTGACCTGATTTGTTGACCCTATTGTAATGACTTGCATGGAGTGAAAAATTAAGCACTTTTTAAACCTGTCTGGCAAGCACAAACCTACAGTGTGATTAGAATTTGATATACCATGTAACTGCAGAAGTTTGAATTAGAGGGACTGAAACGAGTTTAAAGGCTTATGCTTACGTTTCTAAAACAAACCTAACTAAACCTCCATTAAAGTAGTACTAAAGAAGATGAAGTAGAAGAGGTGGCTTTTTTTGCTTGTTTCATTGGTAGCCTAAATACACTGCAGACCAGACAGTAATGAAGATTTGCACTCCTTGGCCAGGTTGGCAGAGGCACTTATAGTAAAGGTATCCTGCCTGTTTTTCTGGGAGGAAAAGAGGAAAGAACTTTAAAGGGCAAGACCTTACTAAAAAAAAAAAGGAAAAGTAAAATCAAAACAAAACTGGGATTTCTGTTGGTTCTCCTAAATGATATACTGATACTGAATTTTTTCCCCTTTCTGTCAGTTTGTTACGAAACAATTTGCTTTTTCATGTTTTACATGAACAATAGTAATATTTTTAATAAAAAATTACTGAGCTTTCCATAGAAAAGGTCTCTAATTGAATACAAACTATACAGATGCTAAAATTGTCACAAGTTGTAATATATACAGAAATATTTCTGTACACTCACATTGTTTTGGCTAAGTAAGGAAATAAGGGACAGATAGAAAACTGCAGTGGGTAAGCTGATCAACCCCCAAACTCCTGTAAATATAAACGCTGTCTTTTATAGGTTTGCTTTTGTTTTCTCAACCTTTCAAAGATCAGGGAAAAAACCCAAACAAACAAACAACAAAAACAAAGGAGAGAAAGAAGAAGGAAAAATCAGAGTCCAAAACATCAGTTTCTTAAAAGTAAGAATATCAAAGTTTCTACACATGTCACTTTTATCCTGTGATGTCCCCTCTCCTTGACAAAAGGAAAACAACATAAAAGAAAATAAAAGTTTTCTTACTAAATATATACCTCAGTATTTATCAAAGGGCAGTGCCTTTTTGGGGAAATCATTCAGCACAGTGAAAACCTGAAGATGTCTTGCACCAAGAGGTCTACAGTGATGCACTTCTGCTTCAGTGTGCTGACTATCTCCTTGATACTATATAATAGATCAAGGTGTCAACTTACAGACTGCATGGGACACCAACATTTGACAAGAATTTTTTTTTAAGTGAATTTTAGATATTCTATTAACTTACATACAAAGGAAAAGGGTGTGGCAAGTATTTTTTAGAAAAGGGAGAAAGCTCAAAATTTTCTGTCAAGTATGCAAGGAGGTTCTGGGTACCTCTAATAGCCTAGGAAAGCCCTTGTATATTCTTGTAACTTGACGGTATTTACTCGGTCCCCAAAGCCAACGACAGCGATCGATAGTGTCAAGTTCTCTTAGTGCCAGTCACTTAATAAAATCAAACCAAACAAACAAACAAACAAAAAAAACACAAACAAAACCCCCCTCAAAGAGAAACTTCTCCTTTGTGGATTCAACATACAAAACCACAAACTGAATGTTACTAATAGCGAGATAACTGATTTTCTTCTGTTAATAAGGTTCAAGAGGACATAGTCAAAAAAACAATACAGCAGCAATCTTTAAAGTTAAGATTAGTGTGAGATATGATATAAAACAATCAGGTTTTTAAGCTGGTAATTAAAGTGCTCCTTTTCAGACTTGAGGTGTAAAGAAAATTAAAGTGATAATCAGTTACTGGCAACCCTTACATTAGTTAGGTCTTTCATGGCAGAGGAGAACAGTATGAACAGTTTTACAAAAATAGATCCATGTTATTTTGGAGAATACTGTAATTTTTTTCTTTTTTTTTTCTTTTTTCTTTTTTTCAGTTTTTCTCTTTTTTTAAGACTCAATTTTGACAAACTGTACCTGGTCATACAAAAATTACCCAAAATTCAAACTTTTACCATATAAAAAAGGGAGAGATGAACTGGATTCAGGTGGATGACAGGTCTGACAAAATATAAGAATGGAAAAATTCTATGTAGGGCACTTATTTATGTCCAGATGCATATGCTGTTTCTTACTGATTGCTTATCTTCTTCACATAAGCAGTCACAGGCCTGGAGTCACAATCACATAGTACAATGCTTCAGCAGTCAAAGAATCTTCTAGTTGATGCAACATTGAAACACTGTTTGCTTCTTTATTAAAATGTTGGTTTGTTGTTGATTTTCCTTTATCTTGTTATTCACATTCAAAAGTTAATAGATAGCATCAAGATTTATCGGGGAGAATCGCAAGGGGAGTTGCTAAATCAAAGGCTTATAAAACATCTTTCCCAACTGAGTCAGAAGGTTTATTAAGTTCAACCCTCACACCTTTTTCACCTGCAGAAATAGGAAAAGGAAATCAGAATTATTTGTCAGCATTCATCAACAATTTGCTACATCACTTTCCATGTACTTCTAAGACAGTACTTTGCAGACTGTCTAGTATGTATGATCTAGCAAGATATTTTTGTATATGTGCTCTGTAAAGTTAAAAAACTGTGAGGAAAGCAGGCATTTATTTGGCTGCCCAAGTAGAAAATTGGCTACTTCACATACTATCTACAGTTTTGAAATTCTTCATTACAGCCTTTACAGGCAAAGAAAAGCTTTAAGAACTGCCAACTGAGAATCTCAAGATATTGTCTGCTACTCTGGATCAGAATATCTGGGGTTTCTGGATACTTATCTTTGTAAAGAAACTTTGAGGGATTTCTAAACTTCAGTGTTCTATTTGACTTGCTTCTAAAAAATAAACCAAACCCACACCATTTCTGCTCCTTCTCTCTCTAAAAAATTTACCTTCAAGTAACCCCAAAAAAGTTTGACTATCAACATGTTAACAGACACAGTATCCCACATTCAAGAAATATTCACACATATTTTGCAGGGCTTTAGTTGAACTGGCACTAAGACAAAAATTAATACTTTTCAATTTCAAGACCTTTTATTCTATAATCTTTTATTTTAGTATTGATGGAATGTAAAAAGCATTCTGCACAATTCTTTTTACAGATACAGAGCAAAAAATGCAATTTTAATTGCAAATGAAACTGGAATCATAACAATGTGCTAATATAAATAAATTACAAGGCAAACCAATACCAAAATGTTGACAACTCCTCCAACCCAGCCTTCCTTCCTTTACTGGCTGCAGTTTAGGGGGACCCTGGAGACGGGGAGGGACCAGGGGGAAAACAGAAGCCCACCCAAACCACTTCCCTCCCCTCTCTTTGAAAACCAGCAGCCGAAGCTATGCAGAGACAACCCAAACAGCTCTGTTCCTGCAGGGCTGGCTCTGGAAGCTGCACAGTCACATGTGTGTGACGTGAAGTCGTGCTCACAGACAGAAAGACAGGCTTCCTGCAGAGACCAGGAGGGCGTTATCCGGCAATCCTGAC